AAAATCAAAGTATATGCAAGTGTGGCATGTGTGGAGAAAAACCCCTTAGCTATTCCATCATCCATATTTTCATCAAAGTTATATTTAGAATCTGCCTAATTTACAATCTGTGCATTTTAATTATTTTCGTCAAAACCTCAATCCCCCTTTACTTTAGTGTCCAATTTAGTTAGAAAGTGTCTTAGTTTGTGTTTTTAAGCATTTTGATTCATTTTATTACCCAAATTCGTCCAAAGTTGTCAAAGTGCTCAAAACTGCCCAGAAAGTGATTTTAAGGCAGTTTTGAGTGTTTTGGGGCTGTTTTGAGTCTTTTGATTTGTTTGAGTGTTTTTATTGTTTAGTTTTGCATTCTTTGAGTCTAGTTTAGTGTTTCAAACTTTATTTTACGTTTTTGAGTCAGTTTCCAAGTGATTTTGCAATCCCTCCTAATCCCCGGTTAAGAACGATCCCTACTTATTTATATACTACAATTGTCACAAGAGCGTTTTAATTTGTGTGCTTACTTAGTTCGCATCAACTCGCATGAAATAACAAGCCTATGGGTTAGGTCTTGTTTTTCACTTTTCCTTCTTAGCCCAATAATTGGGTATATAAATATGTTAACCCATTTACTTCTCCTTTTTGGCCTAGCAACCCAACAACCACTCTTCTGGGCCAGCAAGCCAAGACGGCCTCATATTTTGGGTCGTCACTCATTATTTTCACACATAGGTCATGAAGCTATTCTCGTTCACTACATATGTATATTGTGTTTGTTTGCAGGTATCATGAACTTAGAGTTCGTACTTAAACTCGAACTTGAAGTTTTGAAAATAAGTGCCATAAAAATTCGAAGTTTCATAAAACAATACACCCGTAAAAATCCAGAGTTCTTCTAGGTGATTTGTTAGGATTACATGTAGATGATGCTTTTAAAAACAATTGTAAAATTTAATTTGTGCAAATTACTTTATTATCCATAATTTTATTTTGTGATAGAAGACAAAAATGTTTTTTCACCCTCTTATAGTTGACAAAAAGAGTTTCATTAATATGTGGTTTAAATTAACTTCTTCCTTACAACTCTGTTATGTGTAAATAAACTAACTTGAAATAGGTCCAATTTTATGCAAAGAGATCCTCTCCAGATCTCTTCTACCAAATCCATCTAATCAATCAATCCATGCCCTTGAAATTTGATCCAACGGCTACAAACAGGGGGCCCATTTAAAAGTTATAATAACTTTAGCCGTTAGACTAAATTTCAAGAGTCTGAATTAGGTGATTGGGTGGATTTGGTGGAAGAGATCTGGAAATGATCCATTTCCCAATTTTATGGCCTAACAATTAGATTAGTCCAATTTTTAGTTATTTATTTATTTAGGTCCATGAATAGGACTCCATGTGTCAACACTTTTTGTTGTTAGGTTGATACTTTGCATTGTGATTACTATTAATTTTACTCTACTATAGCTATTCAATGGAAAAAGGCAAAAAAAAAAAATGATACGATCGGTACTTTGCTAGCTATTCTCCTTGAGGATAACCGCTAAAATCATAGCGACTGATACAAGAAAAAGTCGCTATAATCATACCGATCCCTCCCTTTTCAATTTTTTTTTTCAGTTTTTTATTTTTGTTAATGTTTCTTTTATTCCTCTTACCATAACAACAAACTATCATATTCATATTTTTCAAAATATATTTTTTCCATGCAAAATATATTATAATTCATTTTTAAACACTTGTAATCAATGATTTAAAACTTAAATTTAAAGATATTTTTCTATTTTCTCACTTTAAGAATCAATAAAAATAGTTTCAGGACCTAATAATCAGTAGGATCACATTCAAATGTTTTGCAATATTTTCCTTAACTCCAGCGCAAAATATTTCTTAAAGCTAAAAATTTCCAATTTTTTTGTCTTCACAAAAAACTATGTGCTCCAAAGTTAGAGTCATTCTATTCGCACCACATATTTCCTAAAATTAATTTACGACATTTCCAAAATTTCGGACACCTATAAATCTCTTGGGAGGCCTCGCTATTAGTTATATTATTTTTCTATTTTTTTTTCAACTTAGGTACCCTATTAGTCGGCATAAACCCAGATTTCAGCTGATCTTTTATAATCTAAACTACCTATCATATAAGTACTTTTACAGTCTAAACTACATGTCATATAAATAATTATACAAGCTAAACTACCTATCATATTATAATATTAGTCGGTATAAACTTAGATTTCAACTGATCTTTTATAATCTAAAATACCTATTATATAAATACTTTTATAGTCTGAACTACCTGCAATACAAGTACTTGTACAACCTAAACTACCTATCGTATTGTAACTACCTATCATGGTGGAATAATTAATTTTACATGATTCTAATAGTAAGATGTAGTCCTCCATCTTGGTAATGTTAAAATCCCCTGAAGCTAACACAATAAATGTAAAACCATCTTGAACAATTACTTACATAAGACAATCAATGTATAATGCTCGCGAATCATGTAACAAATACCAGCAAAAATGAAGCTTAGTGTTGTAAATGACTCAACGAAAACATGTAAAATTATTTGTAGTTCTCATAGCTTCATTCGAATTCAAATTCAAATTTGGATACTAATATGCAGGAATCGCGAGGAAAATTCAAAACATGAGTCAAATAGAGTTTTTGATGAAACGATGAGATTTGATGAGTAACTTTTTTTTTATATTTTAATACAATGATATATTTTACACTAAAAAAGATAAGAGTTTTTTTATGAAATGATGAGATTTGATGTGTAACTTAAAGTTCCATGTTAATTCTGGAAGAGTCATAATAAAACATTCAACGACAGTCGGTGCAATTTTGTTTTCAAATTATGGACACTTTAATTGCTCTACTTATTAGACCTTACCTATGACTGTGCAATACATTAGACCCATATCAAAACATGCAGATTAGGATCCTCTCCTAAGCAAAGGGTGAGGATTCTCCTAACCAAGCCCATCAGACTGTTGAAATTTTATCTAACGGCTATAAACTGGGGGCCCCTCTAAAAGTTATAATAATTGTAACTGTTGGATAAAATTTCAACGGCCCGATGAGTTTGGTCAAGAGGATCCTCACTAAGGATGGGCAAATACCCATTGGTTATGGGTAACCGCGGTTGTTCGCCCATTTAAATTTGACGGTTACGTTTATAGGTAACCGTTTAGATAAATAAACGGTTATAGGTATAACTATTTACCCGTGAAATTTGAATGGGCAGTTATGGGTATTACCCGCAGTTATAAATGGGTACCTATTTAACCATTTATTTTAATATATGTAAAAGTAAAAAAAAGAAAAAATAGTTTCTAACTAGGTTTAGTATCTCGAGATATATTTGGTTACAAAGGGCCATATAATATATATATATATATATATATATATATATATATATATATGCCTCATTTGAGAGAAAAATATAGTTGATAGAACGGGCTAATGTTTAATATATGTGATTGAATGTGCTAAAGCATTAAAGTGTTTAACAGTTTTGTTTTGGAGTCATTTGGAGTTTTGACCAATTCAAGATAATGATTACCTTGAGCATTTAGAAACATGTTATTATCAGATGATGCGTACCTACATATATATATATATATATTTAATTGGCCTCGAGTTTTCAATAAATATTCGACCCCAAAATTAGAAATTGATTAAATGGCTTGGATGGATGAACATATGTTTTTAAATAAAAATCCAAATATTTATCAAATTAGCTTATTAGCAGACTAATGTGTACTTACATATATATATATATGAAGACTAATGTGTACTTATATATATATATATATATATATGAATGTATACAAGAATATTAATTAACCTACAACCATGCATGATTCTTGTAATAGATTAACCATTAAATAATTGGGAGACATTGCATATATTCATAAATAATATTGCCGTTAATATAAAAATACATGTTAAATGTACTTATAATGGTATTTAATAGTTAGAAAAAAGAAAATTATGACAAATTTCTTTTTGATTTTCAAGTTGTTAAAAAAATAGGTAGATGGGTTAAAAAATAAAAAAGTAAACGGGTACACGGTTATAGGTAAATGGGTATGCAGTTATGGGTAAATGGGTATGCGGTTATGTGTATGATTAACCGTTTATAAATGGTTATGGGTATGGGTATACCCGTTTATGTAAATACCTAACGAGTAAACGGTTATACGGATAAAAGCTTAAACTGTTATGGGTAAATAACCGCGGTTACCCGCCTACCATAACCGTTGCACATCCCTATTTGCAAGGCCTTATTTCGCTACCATAAAAAATCAAACCATAAGAGAAAGATAAGTCACTAATTGTAATTACAATAGTCACTCACTTGGCATGGATCATGGCATTGTGACACAAAGCCAGTGTCCGAACCATTGCCAAGTCTCTTCCTCGTGGGTTTCCGTATCTTTCTTGGCGGCTCCTTCAAATTGCAAGCAGAAAAGAATTAATCTTTGTAAATTGTTGAAAGTCCATGAAAGAAGAAGAAAGGAAGCACCTCATTTCAAAGAAATCTCCAAAATCATCGATGACAACCGCGACCGGAAATGTGTCGTGCAGATGAAATGCAGCAAAGTACTTTTTAATTCCTTCCACGTCGTCCACATACCTACGCAGATCACAACCTCAAGAACCCCATTTTTTGCATCACCATTGTTCATTCTATTAATGGTCTATTGACTTACTTCATTTGTATTCATTGAAATGCTTCAGACGATGAAACAACGCCCTGAACAGTTCTAACACAATAACCTATGAAGTTGAGGTCCACCCCACAACCAATTGGCGGGGAATGAGCCAACTCCTTATAAAAAATGAGAAGAGGAAAGGTACCTGGGAAAGATAAGGGGGTTTGGCCTCTAACCTGCGGCGGTTGCAGATGAAAATTACTTGACCATTTGTGCATTGGTGGGCAGCATCCATGGCGGAGTTGAATGCAAACTGGAATAGTAAGGAGGTCTTTCCGCCGCCAAAAAAAGAGAGCCCACTAAGCAATCACAGAGAGAGAGAGAGAGAGAGAGAGAGTTTGAATTATGAAAAGTAACAGGAAGGAGGGCCAGAGAGCAGTAGAATAGGGTGGCATTGGTCGTTTTGTTGGAGGTCCATTTGCCACACACGGAGAAAAATCTCCGCACCATCGTCGAGAGCTGCTGAGAGCTGAAGGCTAGAGGGTGGAGGTGCGTCGTCAGCCGTCTGACGGAAATTTATTATATCGGTTCGAATCACAATGCCGGGGCCTAACAAAAACTTTTCTTTGATTTTACGGGCCTAGCATATAACCAGCCCACCGTAGTTTTTTTTGTTTTTTTTTGCCACAAGTCCTTCTCAAAGTTCGATTCTTATTAAATACAAATTAAAATCGTATTATTATTAACTCATTGTAAAACTTAACTCATCTTAATTCCTCATTGTAAATAATATTGTTTGTAAAAAAAAAAAAAAAAAATACTGAACAACACAATTTAAAAATAAACCAATCCGTACACAAATTATGTCAAAAACATTTATAAAATATTATGCAAGACACCAAGTTGTATGCATTTTTATTTTTTCTAATAAAAATCACTATCGTTTGACTTTTTATTTATTTAATACAACGATATATTTACATTGGTGTATCATATCTGATAATATTTATTGTATATAATTAACATCCAATAAGATAAATTCATTAATTAATGTGACATAGGCATTCATGAAAATCCTAAAACCCAAATCCTTGTTATACATTCACGAAAACCCTACCTGTAAATCGCCAAAATTTCTCCCTGCACCCTTTCAACGAGAATAAGAACCACCAACTCTCTTGCACCGCCGCCATCTCTTTGAAACAGTCGAAACATGGATTTGTGAAATCAAAGTAAAAAAGCAATGTCAATCAATTGCTTTCCCGAAGAAATCGTAGCAGATATCTTGGTGAGGTTGCCCTTCAAGTCTGTAATCAAAGTTAGAAGAGTGTGCAAGACGTGGAACTCTGTGATCAAAAGTTGCACCTTCATTGACACCTATCTCAGGCGGTCCTTATTGATACAATCCGAACACGAAAACAACAGCGATGGTCGACACCATCTTCTTCTACGAAAGAAGAATGGATGGTATGGTAATAGTTACTACTCGTATTATGGTAATATCCTTAGTTCTCCATCTGGTTACACCGAGCTTATCAAACCAGCAATTCCAGACGTAATAAAACGTTGTTTTAGTCACCTGTCAATGGTCGGAACTTGTAACGGGATTATATGCCTTGCTCATGACGGACTGTTGCAGGACGAAGATGCCCCCACGATCATTTGGAACCCTTCAGTCAGAAAGTATGTGATTTTGCCTAGCCCTAGTATTAAGAAGAACAACTTTAAGGATACACAAACCTATTTCTTTGGCTATGATTCACTGACCAATGACTACAAGGTCTTGAGAATTGTTACTGTGAGGAATTCTTTGTTGGGGGTTGAGGTTTACTCCTTGGCCAAGGGATGTTGGACAAGTCTTAGCACTGCTGCAACTGCTGTTTTTCCTGCTTATTTGTGCTCAGGGTTCTTGAGGAAATCGAAAGATGCATTTTTTAACGGTGCTATGCATTGGGTTCTACCCCGTGACAGAAATTCCAATGAACATGTCATTGTGTCGTTTGATTTCGGCACTGAACTCTTCCACGAGATCGCGATGCCTGAAGGTTTTAGAAAAACAGGTTGCCCTTGTTACATTTTAAGATATGGAGAGTCTCTTGCCTTGGTTCAGATTGACAACGGAGGAGAACATTTTGTCTATGCGCTTCATTTATGGGTCATGAAAGCATATGTTGAAGTGAAATCGTGGACTAAACTAGATAACAATAATGTACTCTTCAAAGGATATCGTCCTACTACCCCTCTTGGTTTCAATGGCTCTGATGAACTGGTGATGAAAATATTGGTGGGTGGCGATAGGCGGGCAATAGTGGTGGATTTCAAGACCGGAAATAAAAATGCTGCAACTGCTCTAGATGGCTACTCATCAATGAATCCTTTCGTAGAGAGTCTCATCTTACTTAGCCAGCCCAATGCTGTTTCCTACTAATCGATTGGCCAGCTCCATGGATAAAGTATCAGCAGGGCAAGGAACAATATGTTACAAATTTTCCTTTCTCCTTTTATTTTCTAAGTTTTATGCTTTTCTTCCCAACTTACATTTGGCATGCTCGAATTGAATTTTATACCAATTCCCCAACTTTTCCCATTCCTAAGCTATCCGATTCTTTACATCTCCATTATATGTTCCCTAAATGCATTTTGTTGGTTTACTAAAAAATTTTGTGTGATGTTGAATCATCTGTTGTTTGCATATCTACGCCAATTTACTACATATCTGTTTAGATTTAGTGCAAAATGTGTTAAGCTGAATGAAACAAACAGATCATGCCCAAAGGTATTGCACCTTTACTGTAAGAATAAATTCCAGTTGGTCGATCATATCATGGTTGGAAAAAAAGTTAAAATAAAAAGGAGCATAATTTAAAGAAACATAACTTTTCAAGGTAATAGGCTTCACTTGAATAGGCTCACCTAAGAGGAAAAGAATAAATTCTCGTTGGTTGATCATACCATCTTCTTTCACCCCCAATCATTTGCATCTCGAACTTGAACAGGCTCACCTAATAGGCTTCGCTTGGTCTTGAACCATCAGATTGATCTGCAAGTAGCGCATCGAAGTAATCCTTGAGACGCGAAGCGTTGTCCCCTACTATTAGGAATTCTTAGGCTCCCCACTGCACGTAAAGACCAAGGATTTAAAATTCTCCTTAATCACTATTTTCATGTAGACAGAGTGTTCATAGGATCATTTTATGAATCCATTTTATTGAAGATAGTTGTAACTTGTAACGCAAGAATTCCAAGCTCATGGTCGTAGGCTATATACAATGCCATCTTTAAACAATATATCTCCTTCTCTTTACACACTTCATCTCCAAGTACTCTTTAATAGAGCTTGTAAGTGTTTGAATCTTCACTATTGCTTACAAGGATGCACTTTTGACCACGATCAACAAATCTTCTTTCTCTTGTGAATTATTTTGAATACAGTTAAAGCTGGTGACTTCACTTTGACATACTATATATATATCTATATAGCGTTGCTCCTTCAGTCCTTTGTTGAAATGTGAAGGTCTATGGGTGTCGAATTCGAACTCGGTACTTCTTCCAACGTTGAAAAGATCAACCAATAATTAGTTGATCAACTTCAGCCTTATACCCCCAAGACGTAGTTTGGCAGCTTATTCGGCCTCGGCCTCCATGATCCGTCCATTTTGAATATACCATAATTTAGGTGGTGCCAGCGTTTTATTCTTCCTTGTTACTCACGAAAAATAGAGTCACCCATCCTTACTACCCTACCTATAAATTGTCATAGTTTCTCCCTTCACCTTCCAACAGAAAAGACTTGGATAATTGATCCAGTAGAAACTAAAAAGGCAATGTCAATCGACTACCTTGCTGAAGAAATCATAGCAGAAATCTTGCTACGGTTGCCTGTCAAATCTTTAATCAAATGTAGAAGAGTGTGCAAGTTGTGGAACTCTCGGATCAAAACTTGCCCCTTCATTGATACTCATCTGAGCCGCTCCTTCCTTGTTAATCGAATTCGACCACTACAGCAGAAACGACGGTCGTCAGCTCTTTCTGGTTCTGCAGAGTGACCGAAGTGAAGATACGTATCACCCATCGTATTATGCTGAGTACTGTATCGAGCTTCTAAAACCACCAATTTTGGATGGTCCCCTTCGGGTTTTGCTCATCTTCGGAACTTGTAACGTGCTTACATGCCTTGCTCCTGCTTATTGGCGCTCTTAGGTCGCTTCCACTAATGTACTTGCGAATGTGCTCTGCATTGGGTTCTACCGCGTGACAGGAACGCCTGAAAAATATATCATCGTGACCTTCAATTTAAGCACCGAATTATTTCGCGAGACAAGCTTTCGGAAAATCAGGTTCAAAACAGTAGGTTGTAAGACGGGGAGTCTCTTGCCTTGATTGAGACTGAGACGAAAACTAACAGCCTAATGCCTTATGTTGAATTATCTCTTGTTTGCATATCCATGACAGTTTACTGGCATACATCTTTTAGAATTAATGCAATAAGTGTCAAGATGAATGTAACAAGGAGATCATGCATACAAGTGTCTCGTCTTTCCCGGATGAATAAATTCCAGTTGATCGATCATATCATATTTGGCAAACGTAAAAATAGCAAAAGAAACATAATATTTCAAGGAATTCGGTTGGAGATGACTCGTAAGTTTGCAAGCAACTGCAGTATTCAAGAATATGAGCTTAAGTCAGCTAAGAAGAAAATTGTGTTCAGAAGATTAGACTGCCTCATAATCACCATGTTTCTACGGGTAATGGCGAGGCCGACCCATTTCCAAATCCAAATTCTGGTACTAGCTCAGACAGGTCGCCGCTCTCAAAAAAGGCATGGTGAAGGGCCTTCACGCATTTTTCAGCCTCACTATCATTTACGATCAAGGAGATGTTTACCTGAATTATAGCAAATCAAATATTAGAAGCAAAAAAAAAAAAAAAAAAAGAATGAACGAGTGAAATCTTATTTAATCGGGACAAGAGACCTTGGATGCCCCTTGCGAGATCATTTGAACATTGACTTGATTGGTTCGAAGAACATGGAATACCTGTGCGAAGGGAAGTCCATGAGTTAAGAAAGAAGAGAAAAATAATACACTACTGAAAGAAAACATCAATAGATACTAGAACATTGCAGAGAGAAATACGACACCTTTTCTAGTATCAGTGAAGAATACTGAACATTCCCTATGAGCGAGATGATTGATCTGTGCTGCAGAAGATTCACAAATGCAATTTTTTCGAGTTCTTCTTCCATGTGGTCAAGTTCCTGTTACGTATGGCACCATTTCATGGCATTTAGAAAACTAGAAAGAGCATTTGGGTGTTGGAACATGAAACAAGAAAAAAAAAAAAAAGGCTTTTCAATTTTGTACATCTGAAAAACATACAAGGGTACTTGCATTAAGTATGGGGACTATTTCTAAGTTTTAGTCCCATGCCATTAAGCTGGATCCCCATCATTCAAATTGTCATCCCCTATCCAAAAAGTTTTGAGTTCCAGACAAGTCTTTCAACTCAAGATGTATCAAAAATTGATTCTTAACAAACATGAAACTTGAAGCCGACAATGCACATCTATTTTCTATGTATTTTGCATGCACATCTTTATGTATTTCCCATCGTGGATACTTACAACCGGATGCATCTTCTCCAGAGGTACCTTAGAAATCATGCACAGCTTTGAAAACATTACAACTAAGCACGCATGACAAGTAATTCCTTGACAAATGATATAAGATTTATATGCTTACCTGCTGAATTAGTTCCCTACTCCAAAATTTTGATGGATCCAATGTCAAAGATAAACTAACTTCACTTGTTGCAACAACATCCACGGATATGCCCAAATCTTCGAAGGTTGAGAACACCTATTTGGATGATGAATCCCAATGGAGGAGGGAAATCATGCCAGTTACGATCGGAAATTTCAAAACCAAAAACCAATAAGGGCACGAAGTGGAAAACAAAACCAAGGAAACAAAGATTCACTCACCTTTGCAAGGAAACCAACTTGCCCAAGCATGCGTGTACTGACAATATCCAACAGGGTGACATTTTGCTTCAGAACTATGCTAGTTAGAACAGCCTAAAGTTCATTTGAACGGATAAGTTGGGGAAATAAATAAAAAAGCAAGAATGTTCGAATCCTTACACATGCTTCACTTCTCAAGTAAAAGAAAGGATTAAGCTGCCCACACCTTGCTCATATCTCTTGTTTTAGTGATGAGGGTACCAGGAGCTTTGGGATTATAGGAGTTCTTGACCCTAACAGGTATTTCACCATCTCTAGCTGGTCTCATGGATTGAGGATGTAGAACCTGCACAGTTGCCGTTGTGATTATATTTCTTTTTCTACTACTCATTCTAAATGGCAAGCTCTCATATGGACTCTTATCTACGTTTCACCATACAAATCAGACGATGAATGCTTTGTCTCTCTAGTTACAATATATACATGAAACGAATGAACCGACCATGACGGATGCCATCCTAATCATCTCAATGACAGATGCTCATGCAAAAATAAGCTGTAGTCTGCAAACTTAGTCTAGAGAACTTCATGGATTGGATCCCAAAGTCCATTGCCATTGTTTCTCTCATTAACAGAGACTGCAGATATAATATCAAGACTAAATTTCAACTAACTGATTGGGTCCATTTAATTAGAAATAGAAAATAACATCTAAACTGAAAGAACAAACAAAATCTAACCTGAGCACCAAAATATGCAAGCTCAGCTGCCTCATCGAAAGTCAAATAAGGAACAGGTTCTGCTACAGGACATATACTAGGATCGCAGGTCAAAACACCATCAACATCCTTCCACACCTGCTAAAAATGTCAAATTAGCTTCTGTATATGCTTGTCCAATAATTGAAAGGTAAAAATATTAGCATTAGTTCTAATTAAAAAAAGAAATGAACAAAGTCTCCAAAAATGGCCGTAATATTAGCTAGATCCATAAAGTAACAGACAACAATCAGCATAATTGTGGTGAATGCATGCATGATAGGTGCATATCTGCAGATGACTTCTGGTGATACATGCATTCAGAGCCAAATCTCACCTGAACTTCTCGCAGGCCTAGGGCTTTGCCTATTGTTGTGGCTGTCAAATCACTACCACCCCTGCCGAGGGTAGTGACTGCACAAGTTTTCCAGCCCTACAATGAGTAAAACATATGTGATGTTGAAAGCCCAGCAAATAACGTTAATTTCCTGAGAAACTGAGACTTTAAAGCATGCACATGAGCACGAATTGCATTGGGCAGCTAGCCAGGAGAAAGACCTTTCCGAGAAAGCCAGTAACAACAGGAATTGCAGGATCCCTAGTCCAATCGTCATATAAACGATTAGCAACAGATGGGTAAGTTGCCTCTAAGATGTCAGCATTGGTGAAGTCATCTGTTGTTATGAAACCAATGTCAAATGCATC